CCCCTTTAGACCTTTGCATCCCTTTTTATCTGCTGTAAAATTCACTGAAGAAGTAGATAAGACTAAATCACTAAACCAGGACGTTTTCTCGGCCTTTTTCACAATTATAAATGCATCTGTTGGCCGATTTGGGCCTATTTACAGACTGAAATGACAGACCAGTTCTACCGTTCATATACTTTAATTGATGAAATCCCTACCCTTTCATATTTACCCGAAGAGTGAAAAAAGGTACCCTTTTTCGAGCGTAGCCTCCCCGTTTTAAAACAATCTTGCTTAGGTTTGTTTGTCAGCCCCACTCATTTTCTGAGTGCAGAGTGACTAAATGAGTGTTTGAAAGTGTGATTGCGTGGAGATGGGTTCTTGCTAGCACAGTTTAATTGAATCCAGTCAATTACGTCTTACGAGGTCATTGGTTCGAATCCCGTTCGGAATTCTTTTCGGATTTATTTGCATTTGCTTAAATTGCAATTACCTCTGCGACAATCATATATTCGTGTATTTTCGCAGTTCACATCATCTTCATGTAACATTTAACTTGCTACAAAGTTGTTTACAATTTTTTAAATCTTCCCGGCTCTACTTTGTTTATAGGGATGTCAAGATGTCGAAAATAGCTATGAACAGGTTAAAGATTTATCGCTATACCACTGACTAAAATAATGTCCTGAGTTTTATGTTTGTAGAGGAACACTTTTCAAGCAGTCATCATAACAGACTGGGGTAACACGTTTCTGATTTACAACTACCCTTCAGGAGGAATCGAGTGGACAGTTAATGCTCCTGTGTAAGTCATACTTATACAGAGTCAAAGGCCTATGCCAAACGTCGAACGTTTCATGAGACGAACCAAACTTAGTAAGTTAAGTTCTTGGAAAAGCTCGACATCTAGCCTCAGTAAAAGTTCGTCTGTATGAGTTTGGATCGCGCAAAACGTTCTATCCGTCTGCGTCAGACGTCCGAAGATCGTCTCCGGGACAAACGTTGATCTTCACATGCAACGAACGAACTAGACTAGTAAATTAAATGCTTTTTAACCTCGTTCGGGAGAAAACTTTTTAGAATTGCTTTTTGATCTGATTCAGTTGATTGGTTCGACGCGTTCTAAGTTCGACGTCTGACCCGACAGACGATCTTAACTTAATTTAGGTCGACCTTAACTAGAGTTTGGTTCGTTTCATGAAAATTCGAAGTTTGGCCTAGTCCTTACATATCACTAGTTGAATGCTGTTAAGTGAGCTTGTAACGTTTAGAGGGAGCACTTCTTTGTTGTTGTTTTTGTGGCTTTTTAGGCTGTTTTTAGTGTCTCTGTGGGACCTGATTGCTGAGTATTGTGGGTTGCAAGGTTTTTTTTTAAATATTATAATAAATTCTAATTCAGTTCAAACGTTGGATCAATTCATATTCAATATTAAAGGAAATATAATAATATGTGATGATAGTAATGATCACGACAATGGATGATACGGTATATAACATTATACGACATATGATATATATTACCAACCACACTGATTTTTATCAAAATACTGTTTTCCTCGTGGTTTGATTGGCAATTATCTTTTCTGCAGATCTGAATATTCTGAATGGACAGGTGTGTATGGTATTCCAGTAGCCGGTTGGAGCGCTGAAGGCATTCACAATCTCAACCTTGAAGGGTGAGGCGTGCTAGTTACCTTGTGGCCTGCGCCGCAGACGAAACTAAACTCTGGTTAAGTCCGTCTGCGTAACATCGCCGAAATCCTTGTTCTGGGACCCTACCTGTGTGCTGGGATTTGAGTACGCTCCATGATTCGCTTGTTCAAAATTCCATCGTCGATTTGCCCATCAAGGTGAAGGAAATTCGAAACAGTCTTCCAGTAATTCGTGGAGTCCGTTGGGGCCCAGGACAAGGATATCGGTGCTGCTGCGGTGTTAATAATCGAGGTTGAATTACGTCTGCGACTCAGGCTAGTTTCCCTGCGGTGAAATATTTATCTGTAAGAACTCAACAGTAACAAAATGTTCAATAAAAAGCAACTATATGTACAGTGTACTTGAATTTACCTGGGATTATATCTGTTAGAGTGGAATTCCTTCACGGCTTGACAATAAGTCAGGACAAGGAAATGAACGTTTCTTTTAAGACTTAGTTCTCTTTATTTGGCGAAACCTCCCTGGGCAATCTGATTGCTGTTAAACAAGATTTATATTTATCTTTAAATTTATTGCAATGCGTGTCATGTCCTATGCCCTTTTCTCCACAATAAAGGTTACAGTATATAACTGTAATGTACTTTTTTTTATATACATGCATGTACACCATACCTTTTGATACGGAAATCAACAATGTCCCATCACTGGGTCTCCATTGGGCTCATTATGAAATTATCTTACGTGATAGTTAATTCCCTTGAAAAGGACGTGCTATCCGAATTTTTTTTTTCCAAACTTTGGCACAATTGACATCCATATATGGGATACTGCAATAAAAAATGGGGCCATCGTGCTTGTTTTCACCCACCGTGCCCGTAATTCTTAGCGTTTTTTCCTAGTTATGTGCAAAATGTTGGAAACTTGAATAGCTATCAAAAATTCCTATCACACAACAAAAGCTATGGATCTTACTAAAACTTAGAGCCTCTTAGTAAAAAGTGAAAAGGACAGTTTTCACGTCATTCATATCAAATAATACAACTTCTACTCTCCAGATTTTTTTTCTTCTTAAGATATATTTTTCGTGTAGCCATAGCGATTTAAAAACACCAATAAAAAGCGGGGTGACCGATCTCGTTTCATCGCAAAAGACCACAAAGGAACAATTTCGGCTTCAAATGATCATTTTAAGCGACTGGGCTTGAGCGAGTTCCAACCGTTTTAGCTTGGAAGAGTTATCAAAATCGCTATTAAAAGCATTTGACTTGAAAAGGAACTTTTGTTGTCTCTCTTTAGGCGACCAGTGCAAATCGCCGCCGCCTTGGAAGTCGCAATGTTATGCTCAGTACAAAACAAAGGAATTGCTATTAGTCAGTCTGGGAAGCTATCATCCTCAGGCTATTATTAATTCTGAATAATACACATGTCTCTGTGGTCAGTGGGAGGGTGGGTACGGTTAGTGATTGTCTGTGCTATACGGTTTTAAAGTATATTTATCCTAGTGAATGGCTTAGAATGAAGAGTTCCTTTTTTAGGCTTTGCTAAATTTATATGATGAGATATGGATTGTGGATTCTTACGAAGCAGGAAACTGAGGCTGATAACAACCCTCTAAATCTGGAGTTTTTCATATCCTACAAAACAAATTCAACTACTGCTTATCATTCATTCAAATATTTGAAATACTGTCAAACTCTAATAAATATGAAAAAAAAATAATAATAATAGTAATGACAGTGAAATAAAGTAGGATTAATTAAGAATAACCGCTTTAGTTACCCTCGACAGTATTTATAGCGAAAAGTATAGTGGGGCCGGGCAGTGCCTGAAATAATATCGACCAAACGCAATGGGGTTGATAGCCCCAACTGACCGGGGCCAAATAACGCAGGTTTGTGGAGGATTTGATGTCGAAATTACCGTCAACAATTCCAGCCAGCGGTCAGAGCAAGACTTGGACTCGGGGCCTCCATCCTGCAACCACTTGGTCTCGCTACTACCACCTGTTCAACTAATGGCTAGTTCCTCGAGTAGCTTGTTAATTTGTGTTGTACTATTTTGCTGATTTGTGATCGCTAAACACTTGATAGACTTAAAATATTATACTATTGTTTTATACAGGTCGGGTACAGTGCTGGGAATGTATAACTTGGACAAGAGGAATGGAAATACAGGCACGCTAGGCAGATATTTTTGGAAAATAGAAAACCAGGAAAGAGACGGTGACATAAAAAGGTGCATCGATTGGATTACTTTTCAAGACGACGTGCTGTTTAGGTTTTGGTATGATCAGCAGTTTCGATCTCGACGTTTTAACCGGCGTTTGGCGTGTCCGTGCACTATATGGCAGGCATTTCTCGACAGGGGACGATTCTCTCCGGACTTTTCATACCCTTCTTCCAATTTTTGTTTTAGGTCCAGACGCTCCAGGATCTTTTTTCATTTCAGTAATGACCTTGGCCTTGTGTTTTTTCGGATAAGACAACTCTGCTGTTACTCGTTGTCTTTCAATGACTTTGGTGCCCTTATAACTGGTCCGCCGGACGGAAGTCACGCTATTGTTGAACCAATTTTTGGCGCTAGCGGGGTTACTACCGACAGAGACGCCGAAACATTTTGCTGTGCTGATCCAGATTTGTGCAGTCTATATTATTTTTATCGTCCAAGTGATGATTGCTTTTTTCACCGACCTCGTAGGAGACGTAAGTTTTTTTGTTGTGCTACTCCTTTCTTTAAACAAGGATGTCTTAATTAGTGCTAAGGCTGAAAGGAGAGTAACAAGGTTACTTTGTTCGTACGTAGAACCTGGAAAAATTGTTTAAATCTGTAGAAACTAAAATGCTTCGAAGTTACAGTGCGACTACCGTAGACAAAGTTGACCAATCGGAGTACAGGAAAATAACAATGCTTTCCGATACAACTCACTTTGACTCTGAAGATGACTGCCGCACAGGTTGTCGAAACGTCAGTCACTGTCAACAACAACAGTCCTATTCAGGACTACGTTCACCCGGAGGATCAAACTCAACTTTCTTTTGAAATGACTCCTGGGTTCAAACCTTTCACAGTAATACTTTCCGAGATAGTTAGCTGTCAATCGTAATCGAAATAAACAACATGGATCGAAATCTACAGACGAAGGGCTGTTGTGCCATGAATATTTTCCAATTATACTTGGAGAAAATCTCCTTAGGTTTATGAATTTATGGTACTAGTTAATGGTTAAAATGCATTTCGCGTATTTCCTTCACCGCCCAAAACTACGTTTACTGACAGGAGCGGTGCAGTATCCTAAGAGGTAAAAAAAGCTTGAGAACTCTGTTTATCCTAATTTAATACCTTAATTACTTGCTATGTTGTTCCAGGTTTGTTCTGGGGTGATCCACATTTTAGGACACTAGATGGTGGGAATTATACGTTCAACGGCCTTGGTGAATATGTAATGATCGACGCACAAGATGGGGTATTCCAACTACAAGCCAGGACAAGCCTTGCCCTACAAAATTCAACTACTGCCACAATTTTCTCAGCCGGAGCTGCTAAAGAAGAAAACACAAGTGTCGTTGAAGTAAAAGTGAAGAAAGGAGGTGTGACATACTCGGATACATAGTAGCAATCAGATTGTCTAAATGACCTGATTATTCTTTTCTGATCGGTCACACTGAGGCCACAAAATTCACACTTTGCTCACTGTGTGCTCAACGATTCAGCTTTTTTTCAATGCAGTAGAAACCTACGTATAAGACCCTAAAATTTAGGAACCTGTTAGGCTGAAATTTTCATTTTAAACCCCTTTTCATAAGAACCTGTTAAGCCTAAAATTTTCATTAGATTTTTATTTTACAAAAATGAAGGCACCCTGAAAATACAGAAAAAAAATTTAGTCTAGGTTTCAGTCATCAAGATTTAAAGAATAAACTAAAATGAAAACCATATCATGTCTTTGCCAATACTGGATCACACAGTGCAATTATTAAGAATACAGATCTATGTGTCACTGCATGCAGCATGAAGGACATGCATGCTAGTACTTTGGAAAGATAAATTTACTGTATGGTAATCATCTAAACTGTATTCTAGATAATTATTTAATACAGCAATATATTCCATACCACATATACCCTGTAGTAGTTTTCTGTGCTGATCGCTAATGTCCCTAACAAATTAAGAACCTGTTTAAGAATTAACCTAAGTAGTCTAAAATCGCACTAAATACCATTTCTATAAGAACCTATTTAGGCTAAGTTGGAAAAATCTAGGTTCTTATACGCGGGTTTTTACTGTATCCAAAAACTTAAAGACATGTAAACGTTTTATTTTTTTTTAGGTGGAATCGACATTTTGATTGAAGAAACAATTTACCCTAACTACGCCAATCTGACGAATCAAACCATAGATGTCGGCGGAAACCTTTCGTTCTCGAAACCAGAAGCAAACTGTGTAGAGGTTTATTTTCCCTCAACAACGTCCGTGCAGTTCTGCGAGAAAAGAGAAATGCTCTCCTTTGTGGTTACTCTTAGCGAAGATTACAGAAACAGCACCAGAGGATTACTGGGTACTTGGAATGATGATCCTAATGACGACTTCACATTGCCTGATGGGACGGTATTGCCTCCATCTTTAACATCAAGGAAAATTCACTTCGATTTTGGCGTTAAGTGTGAGTTTTTTTATTACATATATGAAAACCGTTTTCGCTTGAAAAGTATGAACACTGCCCAGTGGGACGTAATGGATTTATGGGTAGACTTTTTTTTTACCATTGCACATTTAAAGTTCTTTCCGGAAAAGTTTACATTATCTAAGCTTTCCGCGACGATGTATTCCAAAAGCGTCAACTGACGACTTCCAGCTTTCTTGGCGATAAGCTGACAGTTTCACCTGTGCAAGGCACATCAGAGATCTCTATAGTTAAAGAGCGTAACCATATCGCTAACGCACACTTAAAAATCAACGTAAGATAGGATCGACGTAAGCGCTTTCTTGAAAGACATATAAAAGACAACGGCAACGTTGATTCGTCTGACAACTTTCTTTCTTGCATCGTGTAGTTAAGAAAAAAAAACATCTTTCTTGTTTAACGCTTTTATTTTTTCAGGGCAAATCAATCAGTCTCAGTCATTGTTTACGTATGCTCAAAATGAAAGCGTAGATACCTTTGCGAAACCGGACTTTTTGCCTATGTTCATTGAAAACATAACGTGGTTTAACGCATCTGTGGAGAGAGGCCAGGACTCGATGTGGAGATGACATCGAGTGCTTATTCGACGCTGCAGCCACCAACGACGTGTCTATTGGACTGGTAACAAAAGATATAAATACTCAGTTTGAGAACGAAACAAACATCCTCGGTAAGTCACCTGAGGAATTGTGTTGCTAAGGGAAAGGTGGGGAGTGGGGGGGGTACTGCCATATATGGGCTAGATACATTTACGTATGTCCCGCTCCATGGGGTGTGTCTTTTTTGAGGGTTTTGATCTTTTGCGGCATCATTTTTGCCCTTGTTCGCGTTGTTTTTGCCAGTGTTATCTTTCGATTCTTTGTGTTGTAATAATATTTTTTCCTAAGCATTTTAAACTAAAAACAAACATCTGTTCACCTGTGGATTTTTACAATCATGCTAGTTAGGCACAATTGTAACATAAATGTTTTCGGCACGTTTGGCCCTGGTTGAAGTGGTTGACATCGGACCGAGCCACGCAGGTTTTTCCTTAATGTGTAATGTGCTTTATTATTTCCTTAAACCAAGATCTTAGTTGAATTCATCTTAATGGTGATCTACAATTGTGACAAACAGTAGCCAACCCGATTCCTCGAACCCTGGAAGAGAAAGAGAATTGTTTAGATAATGAGGAAAAACCGAGGGTAAAAATCATAAGGAAAAAGAAAGTCAATATTGGTGGGAATCGTCGAGAAACCGACAGTTCGTGAAAACAATATTCTAAAATGTTTTGTTCTCTACCGTAGAAAATTTTCCTCCAGTGATAGTAAATTCCTCGGATGTAATAAATGCAACGCTTGATGGAATTGTTCAGTTTAATATTACTGCGGAGGACAAAGACACTGTAAAGTTTGAAGTGATTAACAAACCTAAAAGTGCCACGGTAACACAAAGTGGAAACGTGCTCTACTTTTATTGGCCTGTATTGTCGTCACAAAAGGTACATAACTTTAAACAATCAGTGCGACCCAGCATAATCTGCTTCACAACCGTTCTATGGGTTGTCACGCAACGCTCCAGTGGGGTGGACCGTTCCGTGACTACCCAAAGAACGGCTGTGCAGCAGAGACTAGGGTCACTGTTACGAAAACTAAAGCGCGTGTAAAAGTTTGTGAGGTGCTTTGGGTTATAGTATCGCGAAGTATTGTTATTGGTTGTTTGTATTTTGGCGAGCCCGTAGCGCGACTCAAACAAACAAGTTGTAAAATACAATAAACCAAAACAACGAATAGCGTAGATACCGTAAAATTCCGAAAATAAGCCCCTCCAAATATAAACCCCCAATCTGGTAACGCAAAATCGCTACGTTAAATCGTCCCTCCAGTTATAAGCTCCCCGGGGCTTGTACTTGGAAAATTGCCCTCAAATACAAAGTAAAACAAAGCAAAAAAACGGTAAATTTACTTCCAACTATATGGCTAGCCCGGTCGATTTTGAAACGCAAATTTCCCTCCGTAGATAAGCCCCTCCGACTATAAGCCCTTCCAAAAATAAGCCCCTCAAAAAGGGCCTTTGAAAAATATAAGCCCCGCGGCTTATTTTCGGAATTTTACGGTATATGAAACAAGGAAGAGCGTCAACTTTAGCCGCTTTTCGTAGAATGGTTAGGCATGAAGAGAACTAATGAGAATAAAATGAATCCAAGTTATTTGTGATTAAAAGAAGCGGTGGGAGGAGGGTATATCAGCACTACCTTAACGATCACAGACCTCAGTATGAACTCCGTCAACCATAGACGCAACTTATTTCCCAGGGCCAAGTTGTTCGAAGGCCGATTACCGCTTAACCCGGGGTTAAATTTAACCCGGATTTCTCTTTCTTATGTTCAAAAGCATTTTCTCGGATAATTTTCTCTGTTATATTTAGAGCTTTCAATCATCGACTTGTACACAAGGTTTCAAATCTGAATTCAAATCTCGCACTAACCCTGGGTTATCTTAAACCAGCTTTGAACATCTCGGCCCAGGTTCACTCTCTAACCCTTTGGGACGGGTACGTGAGGACCATGGGAACGAGGTTGCCATAGACGAAGGCAGGAGCAATAGAGAAAGGCCCTAGGAGAAGGGATGACTAGAAGCGATTGCATTTGGGTAAACATAAAAACAGAGGCCAGATTTCGTTTAGTCAAGTTTATCAGAGTTTGTATGAAGGTGTTTGCTTTAATAATGCCGAATAATTTGCATATGTGACAATGATATTACCAATAATAGATGTTTCTTTCAGTAATTTATACTTTAAAGCTCGAAGTTAACGAAAATGATCAAATTCATTCAAACTGCTGTCACCTAACCAAAAAAGTAAATTCAGATTTTTAATTTTTGTTTTTGTTGTTACTTTTTTTTTTGTCGCTTTTCTCTGGTCAGTTCAATCTATCAATCGTTGCTACTGATGACAAAGGTGCAAGCGCACTTTGGAATCCAACAATTAGGATGTGCGCCTGCAACAACGATGGACAGTGCATAGAGCCAGAAGAGGGTGATTCCATCAACACCGACATCAAGTTTATTTACATGGGATGTGCATGCCAAGGAGGTTATACGGGAAGGTTCTGCGAAAGTGAAATTGATGCCTGCGAATTGAATGGTCAGCCGTGTTACATAGGAGTTACATGCATTGATCTTGACCCACCAGCAAATGTCAGTGGATATATTTGTGGGCCCTGTCCGACAGGATTTACCGGAGATGGCGCTCAGTGTTTAGGTGGGTATGGCTATTGTGATTCAAATTTGTCCTCCGTTTAAATTTTGTGTTCCCTTGATTTTGAGTATTTTCATGAATGATAATGAGTTTAGTGAGGAAGAGAGACAAAAAAAGAAATTTTTTAAACAAGAACATAGCGTTGTTAATTATTATTTTATTACGCGTGCCAGTATGACTCCAAGAGACCTCTTTAGCACGAAATAAAGGCTAGTAAATGCCCATCTAAAGAGAAAAAACAGGGCCAGGAAAGCGAAAGAGGATAGGAGGAGAGAAAGCGAAAATTTGAAAATTTGCATTGTTCGTAATGAAAGCTTAAATTTAGCATCAGGGGCTGAAGGCAGCGCAGTCCTCGACATCGAAAAGGAATTTGGGGCGGTATTGATTCTTTATAGTCAGACAGTTAGACCAGAAAACGGCTCGAACAACTGCAAAAGGCGTTACTTAATTCTGGCAAAATTCCGAGTAGCTTATGAATGGAATGAATTGAAACATTATTTGAGCCCTTTCAGAAGGATTAAACACCTACCATGTTGGGAAATGCTGTAACAACATAAAGGGTATGCATTAAAAGACCTTAATAGCCCATTTAAGGAAACTTCTCTAATATGCAACCTGTTAGCGTTTACATTATCGAACTTTTTCCTTAGACATCGACGACTGTCAGACTAGTAACACAAACAACTGCGAGCAGATCTGTGTCAATACAGCGGGATCCTACTATTGTACTTGTCGCGATGGATTCACCAGTAAAGCGGATAAACAAAGCTGCGAAGGTGAGAAGCTTTTACTCAACAGAAACTAATACCAGGGGCGGATCTGGGGGAGGGTGCAGGGGTGCGCCCCCCCCCCGAGATGACCTGCGGTTTTTTAATACAACTGGTATTCTGCAAAAAAAACTATGTGGTTTATTGGTGTTGAAGTAGAACAAGAGACGAGTGCACCCCCTCCTAAAAAAAATCCTGGATCCGCCCCTGAATACTCTAAATGGGACTTCTGCTAAGATAACGTTGTTAGCACATTCTTTTCACAAAATGACAAAACATTATCTATCTAAAATTGGATTAGTCTCGCCAAAAGGTTTTCAAAGGCATATTGTACCAGCCGTTTTTGTCTGCGTTGCGTGACGAGACGAAAACGGCGGTAGCGTTGCACATCCAAAAAAGGCAAGGATGGCCGTACAAAGTTGAAAAAGATTACAATGGATTGCATTGATTGTAGTTTTTGAAAAGCTGTCTGCCTAACAGGCTTTTCAAATTTCAATTTGTTGTTTTTAGCTTTGCCGATATAATATTTGGGAAATATCTGGGACTTTCTTGGGATATTTGTTTGACATGAAGCTGTGTTTGTATCATTTACAAGTAATTTCTTCGCTAACGTTAGGTTTCATAGCGAATAAGGACGCGTAATTTTGGCGTAGCCCCTTCGTTTATTTGTTGATGGAAGCCTTAAATGCTAATTTATCTCTTTGTTTACAAACTGTAACGGAGTCATGTGGACACACCCTTAAAATAATGACCATGCAATCAATTATATTACTAGAATGTCTTTATTTGCTGTATAGATGTCAATGAATGCGAGCCATCAAATGACTGCATGCACCAGTGTGATAACACGCCGGGAAGCTTTAACTGTTCTTGTAATGAGTTTTTCGTGGTAGATCCAGCAGATTGGAGAAAGTGCGTGGGTATGCATTGTATTTCTTTTTTCTTGTCTTTTTGTCTGTAGTAACACCCATTTATTTATTTGCCATGGGAGGTTTTCTGCCAATAGTAATATTGAAAGTGTAAATACGTAACCGTTGGAATTTGACTGATTATATAATCGATCAACGGGATGATTTCTGATCAATAGTTTTGTTTTTCTTACTTTTTAGCAACGAACCCCTGTTCTCCAGATCCTGGCTGTGACCATGTGTGTTTCAGCGATGCCAATAATCAGCCAAACTGTGACTGTTTTGCAAACTTCAAACTTCAGAGTGATGGAAGGACATGTACAGGTACTTGATATTATAAGGATTCTGCCTTTGTTGATAATGAAGGCGCGAAACAAAGCCGACCTGGCAGAGGTGTCAATCATATTTCCTAACAAAGCAGCCCATATATATTATATATAACAAAGAATAAAAATTATTCAGCAGAAAAAAGGCAAAACAGTAATTTAAGTAGTAAGGAGGGATAAATACAAGATACGTGTAAGTATTGTCATCATTACCGACAAGAAAGGATAGAGCTTTATCCTCTCTTGTTACCGAACCACCGTAACAACATGCTCCTTGCGATGGAATAACTGTAACAAATTCTTCCAACCCCTCTCGTGTTTGTATCAGGCTATGCAAACACGAAAAACGTTTTCTATTCCTTAAATATATAAATGGATCCCGCGCTTTGACTAAGGGCTGTTGCAAGCAATCCCCCCTCCCTCCTGTCACCCCCATAACGTATGCTAAACAGGCTTACGAATATCTTTCTCGTATACACTAGATTATTCCTTACCCAAAATCCAACTTTACGTAGAGACCAGACGGTATATCAGTCAAAGGACGACAACCCGTTTCAGTACGTGGGTCTCAGGAAACTCATATTTTCACCACAAAAAATGCACAGAATCCAGAATCGGTTTGCTGCAGCTTGTAAATGTCGCTCATTTTCACACACCCGCGAGTCGCCGAGGTTTAAGCACTACGCGATGTCTTCTGTGCATGTTAGCTCTTTAGCTGGGATATACTTAAATTAAGCATTTTTTCTCAGACATCAACGAGTGTGATCCGGCTACGCCTCTCCATCGATGTAGCCATATCTGTCAGAACATCCCTGGAGGATATAATTGCTCTTGTCCAGGAGGATATCGATTATCCGACGATGGGTACACTTGCGATGGTAATGTTTTGGTCTTTTTTTCCAATAACTAAGTACATTTGTACGTTAAGATAACACCAGCAGTGTGAGTTCTCCCTTATTTTTGGAGAAAATTTCATTTTGTTCTAGTTCTCCTAGCGAGACTGATATTGCCAGTCAATCATATGCCCCGAACACACCTTTGACTTAGGCCTTAACGCCCTTGAGTACTGATAAAACCTACTACGGTCAACTGTCCTCGGGACAGAAACCGTATGGGCCACTTGCCTGTCTTATGGGGAGTCGAAGGAAATTTAGCCTAAGGGTCCGATATGGGGCTACAAGGACGAACTCTTTGTCTCTGTTAAGGAGGCTATATTTCCATCTTATAGGGGTGTCTGACACTGTATTAAATGGTTGTCAGCCTAACAGAGCCGAAGAAAATTCAGTTCTAAGGAAGCGTTAAGGATCACCGTTTTAGGGAACGTATCCACCGTTTTGTCTATTTAATAATTAAACCACGAGTGCGCGTTGGATATTTGGTGGTAGTAGCCAAGGAGGCGCGTAGGGCCTCGTTGGCCGATATCATCTCATATCCAACAAGCGCGAGTGGAATAATTGTTTTATTAAAAACGCCCATAAAATATCGAGAATCAGGCTTCCCGACTTTATTTGTTCAAACAACCGATTTTCGATTTGCCTTTCGTTTTCGAGCAGACGCGTACCGTTACCCTATTTTGAAAGCACGATATAATGGCTCATATACCATGATGGCTAAGCCAATCAGAGCTCTAGAATCGCATCATCCAATGATTCAGTTTTTCATAATTCCAAATGTCCCATAATACGCTTTGTTTATTCTCCCTGCCCCCAAATTATGCATAACCTGTTGTTTTCAAATGCTCCTGAGAAAATTGCATATTCCGTAGAGTATTGAAAACAAAACTTTATGCAGCATTTAGGGGCGGGCGGGTAAACAGAGTGCAATATGGGGGATTCCAAAATAGCCAATAAAGATGTCCTTTAAGTTAGTGTTCAAATTGGCAAAAAACTGAAGTATTCCACATTTTTTTTACTTTCCAGATATTAATGAGTGTGTAGATGACAGGTTGTTTAACTGCACGGACGTTCAAAGGTGCATCAATGACATCGGTACTTACAGATGTGACTGTGGAGAGAACCTTTTCTTTATTGATGGACAATGCAGAGGTAATGATGTAATGGGGACACATATGGTCAATTATTTGACGAACAGTATCTTTATTAGACTTAAGATAAACTTTCGATTAAAATATTCCAAGAAGCCTTCAGCTTGAGATTGGAAAAAATACTTTATTCTACGAAGAATTACTACAGTCACCTTCAGTAAGGTGTTTATCACCAGAGACGGGTGTAGAAAATCCTCCAACGAAATCGAAGCGATGATCTTCAGAACTCTAGTAATCGTTAGCATGAGCTAGATCTGACTGGGAAAAATCGAAAAAGCTTTCAAATAATGAGTGTCCTTGAATTGCCGGAAGAAGTATAGAGATTTTTGCTATTTAAGATTTCATGGCCACGGCCCGAAACCTTTTGAACAGTCGAATGGGGCTTCACTGAAGGAAGAAGATAAGAAAGTTAAAACCCGCGACGTGATATTCAGTTAAGACATCTATGTCTCCAAATAGGATTCTGAATGTTGACTTATCTTATTTCCTCAAGTGTACAAAACTTTTTCATAGATTTTAGAAAATAAGAACCTGTTTCAAATTTAAAGCTAAACAGGTTCTTGTATATAAGGGTCCTAACTGGCAAATTGTAGCCTAACAGGTTCCTAAAAACCAGGTTCTTAGCCGTGCGTGTTTTTAACTGCGATAATTGTTATTACGTCATAGCTCTGGAGATAAACGAGACAATCCCTACCCCCCCGCTTGCTGAGCCGCGAACGCCATCAGCAGAAGAACAACTGGAGGCGGTGCAGATAACCATTCTTTATAATAGCACTGTAAGCATTTTTTCTTGTATTAATTGTTAGTAATTGTGTGTCTTTCTTCAAACGATTTAATGCGAGGAAAAATATACATATGCCCCCGCCCCCCTCCCCCCGCCCCCCTCCCCATCATCTATGCAAAAAAGTGTTCGTCAATGATATCAATTATAAACTTCTTGAAGTTGGTGAAACTCACTCTTTAAAAAAATCACAGCATATATTTGGTTTGTGAGGAAAGGTTTATATTATAATGGTAAGTCAGTTGTACGTAATCTTAATATTGTACAACGTGACATTAATAATGGTAATTGATGTATTTAGTCTGAAATCATACACGTGATTTCCATTTGAAATCGCGCTATGATTCAGAACAAACTTAAACTACACTCAGTTCAATCACCACTTTATTACAACCATTTTGAAATCACAGAATTCAAACAGTCAGTACCAATATTTATTTGATCTAGTAGCCAGTTTGTTGAAAAGCGGAAACAAAGGGCTTTTTCATCTTACTTTGTACCCGAAACAGAAATGATGTAATAGAGGACGAAAATGGTGCGCGATTTAAAACAGGAATAATGCAATTTAGAACATGAATGACGCGATTTAGAACAAATGTTATTTAGAGCAAAAAATCGTGTGACTCGTGAATAAATCACACTGCTGAGAGCCAGTCAGATTGCAGGGATCACCAGTGATTTCAAAATGGATAAAATACATCGCTGATATAATATAATTATTGCAGCACGAAAGCAATATTGCGGTGTCCAAGTTGTGTACCTTTCAGACCTACTTATCGGGACACTAACTATCTTTTTACTCTCTGTTTACTTGTTGTTTGATAGTTCAAATGGGATTATACAACAGACCAGGCTTTTAAAGAAATAATGGCGTCCGTTGCGTCCGAATATTGTAATGTGAACAGAACAGAATGTGCATTAACCGTTACACGGCAAGAAAGGTAACTTAGTTATTAATGGATCACGAAAAAGCTGTTGTCGTTTACATTCAAGATCTAGGCTAGAAAGCTGTTTCGTTTACATTCAAGATCTAGGTTGCAATAGTTTTCTTGATAATTTGATAAAACTATCAGTCAAAAACAAAATGGACTAGTTTGTTATTCCGCACATTTTTTCTTAAGATTAATATTTGTGTGTTTGATTACGGGCTCGAAAAGTTGCGGGGACTTATTGGGACACCGGCCCCTGTGTGTCTTCAACTAGTTTACCTATACGAGAGGCTTTTGCTTTTAACAAACGAGGGTGTTTCTAAACACAAATAATTGGGTGGAGTAACATCGACGTTGTCTAAGTCGACTTTTTAAAGTTAATTGTTACTTAAGAAATTAACTGAGATAATTTATTAGTCCCTACGCAGCAGTCTTAGTGTTTTCATCGTACAACACTTGGGGAGGAACATTACGCGACGACAAAAAACGGTTACGAGTGATACTATATAATAATTCATTTATTTATTGTTTACTTATTTAATGGATTATAATATTGATTGATTGATTGATTGATTAAGTCATTAATACGCTTTTTTTTGTCTGTTTGTTTTTTTTTTTTTTCTCATCAGAATCGACCTCTATTTATCTTTGCGAGTTCATCTTCTCCCTGGTTATCCTAGAAACGTCTCGGGTACTTTGCTCGTCGCTTTTTACGTTCAGCAGCCAGTGGGACTTTTTATTGGAAACCAATCAGTACTCCCTAGCAGCGCACTAGTTGAAATTATTCAGCTTTATGAACGACAGATTGAAGCCGCAATTGGCGCCAATATAACTGGTGTGGAAGCTCTTTTCAAGCCTACATCCACACCTACAGAATTACCTGTCGCACCAACCAGCAGTAGTGATGACACCGTGTGGATTATAATTGGTGGTCTTGGTGGATTGGTCCTTCTACTTTTGATTATTTTAATTGTCGCGTTTGTGTATAGAAGGTAAGATATGTTGACATATAGGAATTAAGAAATATTGTTAATCAGTTTTTCATATCGTGCAGTTTAAAATGACAGTTGAACCTCCATTAAGCGGCCAGTAATCAAAGTCCTGAAATAACTGTAGAAAAGAATGAGAAATTAAACCTCTATTAAGCGGCTACCGTGTTCGAGTCCCGCGACTTGCTGGATTTGTTCTCGGTCGTCCCGAGCTCAAATCCTCGGCCACGCTTGTAAATAGCCAACTGGTTGCCTTCTGCCTGTTGGGGTTTAAATCCTGTTATGTTGTATTTGAATTATTTGTTTTCTAAGTATTTATTCACTTTGGATCACTAAGAGAAAGCGCTATTTGGATCATTATTATTAGAAATTATTATTATTATTATTATTATTATTATTATTATTATTATTATTATTATTATTATTATTATTATCTCTCGACAGCGGCCACTTTCTTCTGGCCCCAAGGTGGCCGTTGTGGGAGAGGTTCAACTGTAATTTACGACGAACCACCTCTGTTGAGAGTCCACCTCCAATAAGCGGCTACTTGCCGGTACCCCGAGGGTGGCCGCTTAATAGAGGTTCAACTCACTGTTTGAGGTTTCCTGGAATCATTCGTGCTTGCTCAAAGCTGTTTTACAAAGAAAACTCACTGAACAAAAAAAAAAAGGACTTCCTATACAGCGTACTTAAGGTTATTCGTCTGAAATAGAAACTACAGGGAAATTTTTGTCAAACTTTACCGCTTAATTTCTTTGAACTCCAAAACTAAATATGATTATAATTATGTGCGAATAGACGTTTTGAACACGTTTCTGACGATTTGTTTTTTTCTGCTCTGAGAATTAGTCTACATTTTAGAGAGGAAAGCCACTGTTCATTTTCAAAGAAGGGAAAAAATGATCGGACACCAAACTCATTTAAAAGAAAATGAAGATTTACCTCTCTTGGATTCCCCCCTTATTGAGGCCCGAAGGGCAAAAAAAAAATTTTAGGAGACCGCTCCCCTCCTTATCTCAGGGTCTGGATGACCGCCCCCACCCCCCCATCTGAAGGTCTGGATCCGCAACTGACAAGCCGCTATGTTTTTGTTGTTGTTGTTGTTGTTGTTGTTTTGCTTGTTTGTTTGTTTGTTTGTTGTTTTTTTTACGCACTTATCATGCTTGAAATAGAGAGCATCGATCTCAACGAGAAGTGGCAAATTCAAACTTCTCCTCATGTAAGTGAATCCGGATTCTGGAATGCTTGCTTGTGGATAGATAGGCCTGCCCCGATTGTGATCTGCAACTTTTGGACAACTTCGGGCTTTTGGAGCAATTTTTTGAGCTTGTAGCAACCGCGAGCAATTTTTGAGCAAAATATAAGTTTAGAGCACATATCAAGCACGAAAGAGTCAACGATTTCATAGAAAAATTCAGTTTATGCGAATTTCTTCAGATAGTTAAGAAAGGATTGTATTAAATGAATATCAACCTATGACCACATAACACTTCGCATGCCTAAAAAGGCAATTGTTGCCGTATGAATTTAATTAATAATAGCACCCTTAAAATTTCTGCCATAATTGCGAGGATCTCTTTAAAGCTAACTCCAAGCTATTTTTCTGGACCGATGTTAGTAATTGTTGTGAAGAACAAAAAACTAAAGCAAAAAAATTGTAAAAAATAAAATAAAATATGCAGGAATTTCGGCAGCAACTTTTTGGCATTCCAGTAAGAAAGTTTCCAGCATCTTACAAGCACAATCGGGACAGGCCTACATGTGGAATCCGGAATCCTTCCAGGTTTTGCTGTGCAATCTGGAATCCTGGCCTTTGGAATCCAGAATACAGCTCAAGGAATTCGGAATCAAAGTAAGGATTGGTATCCAGAATCCAAGTTCCACTGACGAAGAATCAGGATTCCAGTACCTGGAATCCTGAATCCATGGCATGGAATCCAGAGTCTAAGACCGTCTTGGCTTTCTTTACATGGGGCGACCAGCTATAAAAATACTTGTTTATTATCATACTCATAATTTTATACAACAGTGCACCATTTAGTTCATTTTCTGAAGATTACCTAAACATCATTAGTAAAAACAGCATTTAAACGTTTTCATTGGTTCTGTTTTTATCAGGAGAAACAAAGGGAAATTAGAAATAGACTGGCGAAGATCAAACTGGAGTCGCGATCTTGGAGGAGAAGGGCTTGAAGAAATTTTTGAAATCTTTTATAACAACGGATTCTATGGACGAGATAACAACCTAGAAGACTTAGGAGTACTCTGAATAATTCTGTTCAGGCTATTTATAAATTTTGCTGTTTCAAAGAAACAATTTTCATAAGTCCCGTTTTCGAAGGACTATTAGTGTAAAAGTTGCTTATAAGAAAACAGTTATTTACGTGCGCGCTTGTTGATAACAATTGTTCTGCTAAGAAGTTAATGCACCTTTTTAGACTATTGAATGTAACTTAAATTAGGGTGCGTCTGTCTCTTCCTTATGTTTAGCCTAACTTTGTTAACGAAAGAGACGATCCCCAATTAACAGTATTTAAACGAGTCAAGAAATTCTGTCTTGAATGAGTATATTAAATTTGTTTTTGGTTCTCAAGAGACTAGTCTTTCTCAAGAGAACCTGCTATAATATCCTAGTATTGGACGAGAGATATATACAAATGAATTTAGAAGTAAAAATAAATTATACATTAAGTTAGAGCTATTTTATGTTAGAATTATTAGCTACGCACAGCAGGAATTAGTCCTGACTGACACTCAAGTAATTAGTGTGAGAAACATCATAACCGTGCAGGACGTTTTCTTGTTTCACCTAGAATGATGTACTCGCAAAGCATGAAAATCTCTGTCTAATTAACTTCGAGATGTGTACAAAAAGTAGGATTTACGGATACTATCAAGAGACTTTAAGACTGCTATTTCAGGCATTGTCGGCCAGTATAGGTATTTATTATAACCCTGCACGTCGCTTAACCCTTTAAACCCTAATATGAAAAGTGAAATTCTCATTCATTGCCCCCTAACGTTTCCCATAAATGTGGAGGGGAGTAGTTTTTGTAGAATCAGCCAGATTCATCTTGTGTGATGAAGTCCTTAATTCTTGTCACTGATCTGTTTCATAAAGCATTAATATTACTAGGAGAATGTTGATACTGAACTCTTTAAGGGCTTACAGGGTTAAATGCAGCATTAACAATATATTTTTGCGAATTGTTTGTCCTTGGTATAAACTACACTTATGTATTTTGAAAGCTATACCTGCAATATACTGTCTGTATGAGCTGTAACCAGGTGAAAATATATTCGCTATCCTTCTGAGCGTCTTTTGGGTTTATTTGTCTGTTCGATTGCTATGGCGTAGAATTCAAGTTTGCTCTGTACCCCGCTTCGGGCTTCTGCCCTCTCAGGGTCCCCCCATTGGCGAGGGGGGTTTTAAGGGTGGGGTGAGGATTTACAATTTCCTTTTTTCCAGGCTAACCTATCATTTAGCTCCAAGAGCCCCCGTCCCATATAACGTTTGCCTCAAATCCAATTCCCAGTAGCAATTTAAAGTAATAGCACTAAGTGAGAATTCTCTCTTGGTAGCACCGAACAAGTATTTTGCAAAAAGCCCTTAAGGGTTAACAGTGGTTTTGAGTCGTGACGGTCCTGGAATTATTTTTTTGAAAAAATATACCATTTGCGTCTTTTTTTGAACAGGGCGTGCCCTTTCTTAAAGGATATGTGATATATGATACGTGACATGTGATCTTTAACCCTTTCACTGCCAGAGTGCTTGATGGAGTTTTGTAAGGTGGACGAAATCCTATGATATGACCATTCAAATGAAAGCTGCCTGTACTCTGCCTGTACTTTCACATGACTTTCATTTTAGAAAATGAAATTTGGATATTTGGTCGACATTTGCCTTTTGCCACATTTGGCAGTGAAAGGGTTAATCTCCAGCCAATGTACAGTAGAAGCTTTACGCAAATTGGCAGTGAAGCGTCCCCTCGTCGTAACATAACAATACATTGCTGGAAACTGTAGATATCCGAGCTTGCAACGTTGTTATTGTGGGAATTGATTTTATGGACACGCCTTTGTTGTTGGAAATATTCCGAATTGTTAAATTAATGCAAGGCCTCTAGCGTCTCTTCATCAAACTCAAACCATAAACCGTGGGCGCTAGACTTTAGCTCAATATGGAGCGTTTTCACATGACGTCACAGCGGCCATATTGGTGTCCTAAAACAATGAAACGGCGGCCATGTTGGCGTTCCAAACACTGATCCGTTGGGAGTTGAACTCTTTTCTGAGGTAAACAATTTCTTTTGTTCCCACAAATTTGCATAGATCCTGGCCACGTGAGTGAAAACGCTCTATTGAGTCTATTCAATGACACTGACAACCCTTAAAATTTGCTCTGTTCCAAGGAGTGCTGTTTTGGGATTTTTTTAAAGCTCGATACTACCTAGAATGTAGGTGGTACCCTTATCAGTGCCTTTCTTAATTCCCAGTAGTCCTGATAGTTTTCCACTGGCGTATGACTACATGGATTAATTGAGTTTTAATTTAGTGCTTTCGTGCAATCTCTATTTCCAGCTTAATATCACAGGACAATTTTTCTGACACCTTGATGGAAGTATTTCTGTCGCAAAGTAAAGCCACGTCAAGGAGAATACATTGCTTGTCTTGTTTAGTCTACCATAACGCTAGCAAAGGTTCGGTTACAACTCTGGGGGTACTCAACAAAAATTTATACGGGTGGCTCCTACCCTAGTCTCCTTTGCAGCCGTTATTAGGGTCTTCACGCAACGCTCCTCCCCACTAGTGGGGAGGAGCGTTGCGTGACGACCCTAATAACGGCTGCAAAGGAGACTACTCCTACCCTAGAAGTCCAACCCTTAACCTTTATTTCTGACAGAAAAAGGACTCTTTTGTATACCCTTATTGAAAAATGGTACCCTTTCACATACTGATTTTGAACTTGGCTGCCATTTTACATGCTGTAAATGCACCGTCTTTTAAATTTGAATAAATCACTAAATCAGGTATTTAATTTATTCGTTTTGACATCGTGTCAGTCAAAGCAAAAAAAAAGGGCACATTGACCCTAATCATGAATGTCACAACGATACTGAGGTCCTCTTGTATAGTTGCTGCAGAGCTCCACTGATCCTTGCTGCAATTGTTAACAGCAAACTCTTCGTTTCTCCATTTGGAATTCGTTTCCCAAAAACTGGTAGGTCGGAAGAGTGAAATAGATGTTCTTCTAAAAAGCTTTCCAATCTTTGTAGAAAACATAGCTGAGAAGTCGATTAGATCAGGAAAATAATCTCTGTCGACTATCAACTAAACAATCTTTCAACATCAAAGAATCCAGATCAATTTTCCAATGAGAAGAATATTAATGATCGTCCTAGCTTTTATACTGGAGACGGCGATATGCTCCTCGGGACATCTGAAGGAGGGATACTTGAAGAATCTCGCTCAGAAAGTGGGCCACCACCGATCACAGTCATGGAAACAGCCACAGAAACTGAAGTTGACGTTGGCGGTGTAATAGCTCAAGGCCAATAACTGCCTGAAGGTGAAATCCCCAAAGAAATACTGCGGGACATGCTTGCACTGCCTTCAAACAAAAAGTTCAATATTAGAACACCGAGATTTCTCAGTTAAACTCTTTGCCAAAAACACAATTTTAAGTTGTTCGTTTTGGTTGTAATTTCAAAATGTAAGGCAGGATATTTCCAGAAAAACCGGGTTTTTTTCCTCTGTTTCCGAGGAAATACGCGTCCACTCGTAGAGTGTTTGAATCGTTTTCACCTGTCCACACGAAAAAGCTAATACGATGGAATTACGATAGCATCCCTTTCAGAAAATGCGCTGTACGATGTATGACATCATCGTATTCTCAAACCTCACTTTCCGTCCGTCCACACAAAAACGATAAGCATTCGTTTTCAATCCACTCTGGGAAGTATATTTGAAAAAAAGGCGTTTTTGGAGATCGTTTTCACCTCATACGTGTAGACGGTAGGCCATACTAGACAAAGATATTTCCAGTTTCAAACAAAAACGGTACGTGAGAGAATGATCATTCTCTCTTTAAAATTTCCACCACTAGCAACTCACACTTATGTGAATAATTGTTTTAGTATACGTATACATGTACTAAAACAGTGAGATAATTGAGCACTAAAATAATGGTTTTTAAGTCATTTATTGCTGCCGACGATTCCAATATGTCACGTAAATGATCGAACAGCCGCAACTTTTTTTTTTCGATAAAACAATGAAGCCATTTGTTTAGCTCTTAGGAGGGCATTTCTTCAAAAAGAGTTGCGAATTCTTTCTGCATTTGAAACCATCCAGTAAAAAGGTAGTCTTAAGCTTATTTCTGAACACAAGACTTAATTTGTATTTGTAAAAGGAAATTTTTCACCGGTTTCATCGATTAATTCAGGTTAAACAGACAAGGCATTACGTGTTAAAACCTACCAAACCGAGTTTCATCGCCTCTTCGATTCGTTTACTTGTGAAATTTCCTCGTTTGTTACGGCAGCAAACCGGAAGGACATTTTGCTCGTAATTGTCGCTCGGTGATGAATAGCACTGAATTTCCCAAGTTTGAGAAGCCAATCAGAAACCGCGAAAAACACTATCCACTGTTTTAGTATATACTTAAAACTAATGACGCCTTTCTCCACTGCATACTCGAACAGATAAAAAAAAATGATTCCGAAAGATGTTCAGAGTTTTCACTCTACGGTGGCTCTAGGTTCCACTTTATTTTCAGCATCTTATATCATTTTTTTGGATCTTTTTTGACTGTATGTAGAGATTTAAAGGCTGTGGATGAGGTTTTTTGTTTTGAAAAGAAAAAAAAAACGTCTATTTTCGCGTTTTTATCAGTCACACTGTCTACTTACCTAAAAGTGTCGCAGAGATTCTGCTTGCTGCTACTGATCTGTTAGTGCGGTTAATATTAGCATTCATCCATGCCAAAAAGACGCGACATTTGCATATACCCCGTAAGTGTTCGGAGCTGCACACCCTCTTCCCCAGCTAGTGATTGCTTCAAGAAACCACCTGCCGCTAAACTCACAGACCAATGGTCCGCCACTGTCACCTTAACAGGCGTCCACGACACCGAACCTGGTACCTGTGCATGTTAGAGAAGAAGTCTTTGTCCATTGTTTTACAAGACTATATTACGAAACTTGGCTGCTGACACAAAACGATTATTTGATCACGGCGAAAAATATTCACCAGCTTGTTATTTGATTCTTTCCCTAATACCGAGTTTTAATAGCTCGTCTTTTAATTCCCTGATCGAGCTTCGAGCTGCTTCCATTTCAATTTTTACTGGGACATCGATCCCACCGCCAACACGCCATCTTCCTTTTGGATCGTTGACATGGTCTCTTTTAGGGGTCAAAAAAAGCTTTGGCCACGCCCAGATCAGTCTCCTTTAGGGGTTTAATTCAAAATTTCCGACGAGCATCCACACCCCTTTCATATGCGGAGTCCCCCCCCCGGAATTTTTTGGTCTGAAATAGGGTCAGGATTTGGAGAACCGGGCG